AGAAGTGTGACACAAAGTTCCTTTAGTAAGGATTGAATCCATGCTAATTCAGCTGTTATTGCTGCAACTGCTCGGTACTTGGCTTTCGTTGAGGAACAAGCAATAGAACATAGAACATTGTTTCTTAGAGCTCCACGAAATTAGATTATGACCCAGAAAAATAACATAGGCACTGGTAGAGGTGCGATCATCTTTATTCCCCGCCTAATCAACATCCGAGAAGGCATGAAGATGTAGTGGAGAGTTATTTTTGAGAAGCAAACCATGAAACATCATGCCTTTGAGGTATCGAAGAAGACATTCAGTTTATTTAAAATAATTACCTTAAAAATTGAGGACACTACATTAATATTGAGTAAAAATTTCACCATGCTATATATAATTTGTACCTAATTTAATCAAACCCTATTACAAGTAATTTAATAATACAAAATAATATAATATTTTGTATAGTGTGTGTGATTTGAACAAACTTTAGGAAATATCAGAGTAAATATATATATTTTTTCCATGTCAAATTAATAATAGCAAGTGATGCATTGAACCATGTTTGTCAACTTAACTTGTAATACATGGTAGCATTTATTTTAGACTGTCCAAATTTATTTACAATTGTCACCCAAAATTGAAATATGTGACACGAATATAGAGATTGATTGTGGCATTAACCATCCGATAAATGAAGTTCAACAATTAAAGAGAAGGTTTGACTCGTGATATGATAAGAAAGTTCTACTTGATGGACGGTTAAGAGGTTATTTTTAGTTGTCAATTATTATTTTAAATGGAAAGAATTCACAGGGCTATGGTGATGAAACCATAGGCCTATAACGTCATACATGTGCACCATATATATATATATATATAATTATATATATGTGTGTGTAAATATAGGTTGATGCGTCTACCTGTTCTATTCCTAGATGAGTGGGCGCACTAGCAATCCCTTTTGTCCTTCACACATCTCCCACTTTATTTCATTTTTATATTAAAAACGTTATAAGATATATATATATATATATATATATATATATATATATATATATATAAACTATAAAGTGATTTTCAAAATGACAATCTTATCTACGAAGTAGGATCACCTCTAGTTGCATAGTGCAACCATTTCCACAATTTGAAATAAGTGGCTGAGAATGTGCCACATCAATTAAAAAAATTGGGTAACTAATTTTTTACCACCCTTTTAAATATTATATTTCATATATATATAAACTTTAAATATTATTTCTAAAATACGTTACGCATGGCTGTCTCCCTTTCTCTCTCTAAAAGCTACGAAGGAAATAGTACCAAATGCGGTCTGAGGCAAAAAAGAAGAAGTGAAGAACGGCGGTGAGGTGAAAAAGAAGGAGTGAAGAACAGCGGTCTGAGGCAAAGAAGAAAAAGTGAAGATCGAAGGTTTGAGGCGAAGAAAAAGAAGGGAAGAAGGAAGGTCTGAGGGTTAGGGTTTGAATTTTGAATAAACGAAGATGAAGAAGAAGGGAAGGGAAAATGAAGAAAAAGGGAAGAAGGTCTGAGGCTAGGTTGGAAAAGTTGGGATAAGTTGGAATGCACTTTAGGAAAATGTTGGGATTCATCGTAGGAAACTATTGGGATGCACTAGAACGGCGGTGAGGCAAAGAAGAAGAAGTAAAGAACGGCGGTCTGAGGCGAAGAAGAAGGAGGAAATAGTACCACTTTAAATGGTACACCAGCAATTAAAATATTGGAATGCACCTCAGGAAAATGTTGGGATTCACCTTAAGAAAATGTTAGAATGCACTTTACAAATAATTTGGGATGTTTGCATGAAAATGGTGGGATGTACCTTAGGAAAATGTTGTGATACACCACTCTACAAATACGTTAGGATATATGTTACGAAAATGTTGGGGAAATTGTTGTGATGCAGTTGGGAAATTGTTGTGATGCAGCAAATGAAGATAATTTGGGATACAACTATAATTTTCAGATTTTATTTTCAAGGAAATCCTCTTATTTCCATAAGAACGGCAGAAACAAAGAAATCGTACCTCTTACTTCGATTTGGATAATTTGGGATACAACTATAATTTTCAGATTTTATTTTCAAGGTAATCCTCTTATTTTCATAAGAATGACAGAAATAAAGAAATCGTATAATTTTCAGATTTTATTTTCAGGGAAATCCTCTTGTTTCCATAAGAATGGCAGAAACAAAGAAATCGTACCTCTTGCTTCGATTTGGAGACGTTTGATCTGACCTCCAATTTGGAAATAGATTGCTTATTCTATTTCGAAATAAAGCCTGGTTCCTGCTTCTATTTGGAAAGAAATCAAATTCTAAACTTGGTTGATTGATATTTTGAAAGAGAAGAAGGGTAGCTAGGTGGCAGGATTTCAATTTTATTTCAAATGGGTTGCTGAAATGAAGGAGGGAGGAAAGAAGAAATAAGGGAGGAAAGAAAAGTATATTTGAACAGTGTATACACATATATATATATACAAAAATTCTGTATAAAGCAAATATAAATTTTTACCCACCATAGTAAGTACTGTTGATTCACAAAAATGGAACAAATAGTTGCACTATTTCACTGTGATTTTTCCCCTCTTATCTACATGACTCAAATCCAAACATTTGTAAGCATTCCTAAATTTGCAAATTTGTCCCTCAATTTGGAAAATATTTAGAAAATGCATCGAAAATTGAAAATAATTTAAAAGTGAGTACTTTGACAGAGTGGACAGTCCTCGTGATGTATCATCCCTTGCCTCCACATGAAGCAAGCATGTTGGTGTATTTGCAAATTAAATAATGTAACATGACAGCCCATTACAGAAAATAAATATTAGAGTTTTCAAAGACGCTATACGTCTTTAAGAATTCAGATTATCTAACGTGCCTTTTCATCTTGTATCACGTCTTATATCTTTACATCGTTTATGCAAATAATTACATTATATTGTGTTATATTTTATCGTAACATTATTGCACTGCGATGTAGTGTGTTGCACTAGCGATGTAGAACGCGACTCATAATGTCCCTCCACAAGAAAAGATTGGAGGCTATAATAAGTGGTCCTATCTATTTATAATTGATCTTTTTATGATTTCTTTTATATGTCTGTGCAATTTGAGAATATTTTCAAATATATAGGGTATGGTATGTGTGAAAATAAAAATTATTCATGAGTTTTCACATGCATTAATCCATTAACTTAACGAATAATATTTCATTTCCAATCTTTGTTTCCAATAAAGGTTAAGTACTTCGTAGATATAAATTGCTGTTTACTTTTGCGTATAAAACAACTCTCATATACATCATGGATGCTTAAGACGTCATTTAATTAAAGAAAAAATTAACACGAAATGCAAGGGCCCGCCAAAAAGAGTCCAGTGAAAGTAGGAATAGCCTTGTACGATAATACAAAACAGCAACAAAGGAGAATGTTAAACATTAAACCCAAACAGAATATATTTTATTAAAAAGGAAATATGTAAGCACTTAATTCATCTTCATATTAAGAGTAAATATATATATATATATATATATATATATATATATATATATACACACACACACACACAGGAGTTAAAAAATAATGTGCAAATGTGCAATGCATTTGATTAAAAATCTTACTTATCCAAAAAGAGTAACATTTATATTGTAAATGCTTGACTTTGATAAGAATAAATTATATACTTTCTTTTTTTTTTGGTGAAAGGCAAATCGAATTAGATATATTAATTCCACAAAAAAAAAAAAAAAAAAAAAGAAGAGATATTGAATTAGGTGGGAACATACAAACATATCAGAACTAAACAGAGACAAACAAGCCCAAAGGCTCTACATGGCAAAGCCCAGACAGATTAAAAGAAAGACAACAAATCCAAAGCCACATAATATTAGGCCCAATCCAAGACCTATCAAACTTAACTCTTAAATTCAAAAAAAGAAGAGCACTGTTGCTCTAGGGCATAAGCCTGTTCAATGAGCTAGATATGGATCAGAGAACAATCAGGAAATTATAGTAAATAATTAGGGTCAAAATACAGAGAGCACTTCTAAAGTATGCATATCACACCTCTCACGTGCAAAAAACACCCTTAAAGTTTCAATTTGGTACAAATAGGTAAATTTAAACACTAAGTTAACTAAATTATTCTTACTCAACCATTTTATAAAATATATAAAATAAATAATTTTATAAAATGATCGAAAATGACAATATTGGAAGATGCCCCTCTCGTGCAAAAAAACATCCCTAAAGTTTCAATCTGGTGCAAATAGACCCCTCTAACAAATAAATGACCGAAAATAACACTATTGGAGGAGACTAGCAATGGATAAGTAAAGATAAAAATATAAAACAAAAATAAAGGTTTAAAAGAAAAGTAAATATAAAAATAAAAAATAAAAAATAAAAAATAAAAAACAAAAATGAAGTGCAAACTAAAAAAAATAAAATTTTTCAAAAACCAGTGCATACTGATATTGGGATTTTTTTTGTTTGTTTTTTTGTTTAATAGTACCAGTGCACACTGATATTGGGATTTTTTTTATTTTGTTTAACAATATTGGTACGAAAATAAAATAAAATAAAGAAAAAAAAATAGTAGAAAAGAGTAGATTAGAATCTCAAAAAATTCAAATTCTTATTCCACAAATTCTCGAAGTTTTTTATAATTCATTTCTATAGTGATTTGGATCGTACACAAACACGATGATGATGATATATAATTCTTTCTATAGTGATTTGGATGTGCCAGAATATTACTTGATGAATTTAATTGATCAAAGTTCAATTGATGGAAGTTTGGTCTTCATTGTTGAAAGAAAGTCTTCTAAGTGGAATTAAAGCATGTCGTGTCCATGACATGTCAGCATAATTTTCTTGACACGAGGTAAGGAGCTGGCTGACTTTGCTTCTCACTAGCTCTCAGATGATTATGGTCTTCCACATTTAAGACGAAAATTCCTTGAGTTAGAAAATTACGTTACTGCAAAAAGTTAATATTCAAGGAACAACTATTTTGTTAGAAAAGAGGCAATAATGAAATAATACATGATAGCCAAGTGTCTCTCGTGAATCTGGCTTCGACTTTCTGTATCTACTAATACTAATCTAACACTTCGGTGACTAAGGTTTAAATTGAACAATACAGTATTACAAGGGGCATTCCCCAGTACCAAAGCAAAAACCAAAACAAAAAGGAAAACCAGCCCATTGGACATGGCAAGCACCGAAAACAACATAACATAGGTTCACCCAGAACAAATCATAGAGCACAACCTATACATCGCGTCCCCATCAAAGAGGCCCAGGACAAAAGCAAAGCTAGAAACAGCAACCAGAAACAAACACCAAAATTCAAAGCCCATTCCATATGCAACTGCTCTTAAAGGAATTAAAATTCAAACTTAGACCTGGGTCGTCACAGCAACAACAGAGAGAGCATCACTACTGATTAGGCAAGGTGAAGGAGAAAAAGGGGTTGTTGTGGGAGGGTTCGAAGAAAGAACTTGGGAGGTTCCAGTTGGCTGCAATGGTCTCACCATAAGGGCAATTACATCTCTTAATTGAGAAGAGTCTCAGCCTCACACTCTGCACGATTTCATTGAATGTCTTCATCGGAGGAGAGCTTTTGTTCTTGAATATTCTGTTGTTCCTCCCCATCCATATGTGATACACAAAACTTGCCAAGGTAACTTTCCATGTCAACACTCAGCTAGCACTCAATTTCTGTTTCCAATTTGAAGATGCCCATATGAGAAAATCTTGCCATGAGTTTGGATTAGCATAGAATCCACATTTATCTTGAATTTTTCCCCAAATACATTTGGAGTACGGACATTGTTTGAATAAGTGTTCATGGCTTTCAGCTGCTTTTACCCACATAATATAAACATTAGGTAGCATTCTAGAACTCATTGCTGATTTGTCAAGTGTGAGTTTTTCTTGGATTGCAGTCCGTAGGCAGAAAGAGTGTGTGGGTATTGAGGGTGAAAACCAAACTAAATTATGCCAGTGTACACGGGGTAGGGTGTCAAGGCTTTGAGGGAGTGTTTGAGGCTGTAGGATTTGGTTGGGGAGGGTGTCCATTGGATAAGGTCTGGGTTGTTATGGTTTGGTGGGGGTAGGTGGTAAGATCAACATGGGTTGAATAAGAGTGGAGGTTTCTAGGCCAATTCCATTGGTTGCCACTAATCACATTTGATGCGCTCTCATATACTTGTTGATGTGACATCCCTGTCTAGAATTTGACGGTAATACCTGAAACAGAGGTCCACATGGAAGCCAATTATCATAGAGCATCATAGTAGAGGCCCCATTGTTCACCTTGTGTTTGACAAAAGGATGTGCGATATGTCTATTTTGTAACAGTTTTCTCCAAAACCAAGTGTAGTCATTTGGAATTTTGATTTCCCAAAAACTTTTGTGCTTGATGAGGTGCTTCATTGTCCATTCCTTCCATATACTTGAGCGTCTTCAGAACATAAAGTCCAAATGTGTCTTATGATTGAGGCTCTGTTCCAAAGATGTATGTCTGGAATTCCCAGACCACCAGCCTTCTTAGATTTGCATACTTGATCCCATGGTAATTTAGCTCTGAATTTTGCCATCGAAGGTCCAAAACTTGACCAAATAAAAACACAAAACTTGACCAAATAAAAAATGAATTGAAACATAAATGTCAAAAAATTGTATGAAAAGGAACAAGAAATTTTGATAGTTGGTGTACCCAAGAATCAGGGTGAGTGGCTAATACAACCTGAGGAGAAACACAAACCACGCGAAGATTTTCCATCGGCAACTTCATTTTCTGCACATCCAAACTGTCGACTTTTGACTCCGAGAAGTTGCTTGAACTTTGGAAAATTTGGATCCTCTTGTGCAGAGGTAAAGAGGCTGGTTGGACACCAGAGGTAAAGAGCTGGTTTTGTTGTGCATTGTAGAACATGGGGGCAAATCCCACTCCAACATAATCCAATCAATATTTTTCCAAAAAGAGTGGCACAATCAAACTTGTCTGGTCCCATTTTTTAACATCTTTTAGAAGTAATCCAAAAGCCTTACCCAACACCGCATATATTTTTCAGAAACCTGGGAAAATCTATTAAGGGGTGAGAAAAACCGTAACCAGTAAGATATGGCAACATAATAACTATTGAATGGTCGTTAAGATATGTTGCAGAAACCATTGCATTTGGTGTCAACTTTCATTTTTTGATGAATATGCTCCATGATCTGATCTTTTCATAGGGATTTATTAGATCAATATCCTTGTCTATCTTATACAACTCTGCAACTGTGTAACATGGATCTTAACTAATCACAAAAAATATAAGTTTTTTGAATTTGTAATGCAACTTAGAAGTTCTAACCGATGTTCCGCACTTTCTGTTTTTTATTTCAATTTTTTGTAAATAGAAAGCATTAACGAACATGATTTTACTTTCCATTTCACCTTTTAGAAATCAAAATTATGATTTGGTAAACGGCATCTGAAGTTTTAACCGTTGCGTCGGCCACGAGCAATGGTGTCAAGCTTGTAATGGCACTAAATATAGTGACAGTGTTGGCTGCTTTGGTAAACGGTATCTGAAGTTGCTGAGTTAAGTGAATAATCACGTTGGCATTAAGAACAAGCATAGCCACCTTCACTGATGCATCACTTTCTGCACAAATTAAACAATACCATCAATTTAAAAACATCATTTGGAGAAAGAAACTTCATATCATTGTTATCAAACTTATATAAAAGATGACCAAAAATGAAGGGCACAGTCATCAATCCACCCTTTTTCTTTTTCTTTGGATCTATTTGTTTTGTCATTTCTTCTCGACTTCCTCTATTTCTAAGATTTCTTGGGGGATTTCTTGGGCGATTTCTTGTGCCTGTGTAATTTTTTCAATTATCTCTTCAATTATTTCTTCTGTGATCTCGTGCCTCGGTAATTTGTTTGTTAACTTCCTCAATTTCCGGTATCACTATAATTTCATCATGGATTCATACAACACAGATAAATTAAAAAAAAAAAAAAAAAAAAACCGTATAATTTCATGCCATACATTTTTTTAAATTTAGCTGTGTTGTATGAATCCAAGATGAAATTATAGAGGTACCGGAAATTGAGGAAGTCAATGAACAAATTACCGAGGCACTGGAGATCACGGAAGAAATAATTGAAGAGATAATTGAAAAAATTACACAGGCATAAGAAATCGCTCGTGAAATCCCCCAAGAAATCTTAGAAATAGAGGAAGTCGAAAAGAAAAAACAGAAGAAAAAGCTCAAAAGAGTATGGGTGGATTGATCATTGTACCCTTCATAATTGGTAATATTTTATATAAGTTTGATAACAATGATGATAAGAAGTTTCTTTCTCCAAATGTTGTTTTTAAATTGATGGTATTGTTTAATTTGTGCAGCAATTGATGCATCAATGAAGATGGCTATGCATGTTCTTCATGCCTATGTAACTATTCACTTAACACAACAGCTTCAGATATCGTTTACCAACTCGGTTTGCTCTAAACTTAATTAGCTGACTATCTTGACAGACATTCTATAATCATTGATTAAATGTTACAAGAATTTCACAACAATAGGGGTCCATAAAACTCCTTCGTGTTCCTTCGACATTTTCATTCAGTTACTTCTTCATCTCTTTCCTCTCTCTCCTGCCTAGCTTTCCTATATACTCCTCTTGTTTGCACTAGCTTTCCTATATACTCCTCTTGTTTTCAGAAAACTTGTGAAGATATGGACCAAGTGTCTTCTCTCATCTAAATTAACTCTTTGATTTTTTAACATGAATATTGCTTTTTTCTTTTGCATATTGACCAAATGTAACAATATTTTGATGTCAAGCTTAACTTTTCATAGTGTAATCTTAAAACTTACCTTTGAAATTGCTTCAACTACATATCTGTGTGCACTTAAATTTTGAAGTGAGTTTATAATAATGATCATGCTTGTGAGCAATCTTTGGGTTATGTATGGAGATCTTATAGGCTTATAACTCAAGTTTTGTTTTGCCAATTTCTTTTCTTTTTTCTTTTTTTCCCCTGCAATGACTTGTAACGGCACTAAATATAGTGACAGTGTTGGCTACTTTGGTAAACGACATCTGAAGCTGTTGTGTTAAGTGAATAATCACGTTGGCAATAAGAACAAGCATAGCCACCTTCATTGATGCATCAATTGTTGCACAAATTAAACAATACCATCAATTTAAAAACATCATTTGGAGTAAGGAACTTCATATCATTGTTATCAAACTTATATAAAAGATTACCAAAAATGAAGGGCACAGTGATCAATCCACCCTTTTTCTTTGGAGCTATTTCTTCTGTCATTTCCTCTCGACTGCCTCTATTTCTAAGATTTCTTGGGGGATTTCTCGGGCCAGTGTAATTTTTTCAATTATCTCTTCAATTATTTTTTCTATGATCTCCAGTGCCTCGGTAATTTGTTCATTGACTTCCTCAATTTCCGGTACCTCTATAATTTCATCCTGGATTCATAAAACATAGCTAAATTAAAAAAACGTATAATTTCATGCCAAACATTTTTTTAAATTTAGCTGTGTTGTATGCATCGAGGATGAAATTGAGGTACCGAAAATTGAGGAAGTCAATGAACAAATTACCGAGGCACTGGAGATCATAGAAGAAATAATTGAAGAGATAACTAAAAAAATTACACAGGCACAAGAAATCGTCGAGAAATCCCCCCAAGAAATCTTAGAAATAGAGGAAGTCGAGAAGAAATGATAGAAGAAATAGTTCCAAAGAAAAAGGGTGGATTGATCACAGTGCCCTTCATAATTGGTAATATTTTATATAAGTTTGATAACAATGATATGAAGTTTATTTCTCCAAATGTTGTTTTTAAATTGATGGTATTGTTTAATTTGTGCAACAATTGATGCATCAGTGAAGGTGGCTATACGTGTTCTTAATGCCAATGTAACTATTCACTTAACACAACAGCTTCAAATGTCGTTTACCAACTCGGTATGCTCTAAACTTAATTAGCTATCATGACAGACATTCTATAATCATTGATTAAATGTTAGAAGAATTTCACATCAATAGGGGTGTATAAAACTCCTCCGTGTTCCTTTTACATTTTCATTCAGTTACTTCTTCATCTCTTTCTTTCTCTCTCCTACCTAGCTTTCCTATATACTCCTCTTGTTTGCACGAGCTTTCCTATATACTCCTCTTGTTTTCAGAAAACTTGTGAAGAAATGGACCAAGTGTCTTCTCTCATCTAAATTAACTCCTTGATTTTTTAACATGATTATTGCTCTTTTCTTTTGCATATTGGACCAAATGTACCAATATTTTGCTGTCAAGCTTAACTTTTCACAGTGTAATCTTAAAACTTACCTTTGAAATTGCTTCACCTACATATCTCTGTGTACTTAAATTTTGAAGTGAGTTTATAATGATGATCATGTTTGTGAGCAATCTTTGGGTTATACATGGAGATCTTATAGGCTTATAACTCAAGTTTTGTGAGCCAATTGCTCTTTTCTTTTGCATATTGGACCGAATGTAACAATATTTTGCTGTCAAGCTTAACTTTTCACAGTGTAATCTTAAAACTTACCTTTGAAATTGCTTCAACTACATACCTATGTGTACTTACATTTTGAAATGAGTTTATAATGATGATCATGTTTGTGAGTAATCTTTGGGTTATATATGGAGATCTTATAGGCTTATAACTCAAGTTTTGTTTTCCAATTCCTCCACCCCCCCCGGCGACAATGGTGTCAAGCTTGTAACGGCACTAAATATAGTGACGGTGTTGGCTGCTTTGGTAAACGGCATCTAAAGCTGCTGTGTTAAGTGAATAATAACATTGGCATTAAGAACAAGCATAGCCACCTTCACTGATGCATCAATTGCTGCACAAATTAAACAATACCATCAATTTAAAAACATCATTTGGAGAAAGAAATTTCATATCATTGTTATCAAACTTATATAATAGATTACCAAAAATGAAGGGCACAGTGATCAATCCACCCTTTTTCTTTGGAGCTATTTCTTCTGTCATTTCTTCTCAACTTCCTTTATTTCTAAAGATTTCTTTGGGGATTTCTCGGGCGATTTCTTATGCCAATGTAATTTTTTCAATTATCTCTTCAATTATTTCTTCTGTGATATCCAGTACCTCGGTAATTTGTTCATTGACTTCCTCAATTTCCGGTACCTCTATAATTTTATCCTGGATTCATACAACACAGCTAAATTAAAAAAACGTATAATTTAGATGTGTTGTACGCATCCAGGATGAAATTATAGAGGTACCGGAAATTAAGGAAGTCAATGAACAAATTACCGAGGCACTGGAGATCACAGAAGAAATAATTGAAGAGATAATTGAAAATATTACACAAGCACAAGAAATCGAAGAGAAATCCCCCAAGAAATCTTAGAAATAGAGGAAGTCGAAAAGAAATAACAGAAGAAAAAGCTCAAAAGAGTAAGGGTGGATTGATCATTGTGCCCTTTATAATTGGTAATATTTTACATAAGTTTGATAACAATGATGCTAAGAAGTTTCTTTCTCCAAATGTTGTTTTTAAATTGATGGTATTGTTTAATTTGTGCAGCAATGGATGCATTAGTGAAGGTGGCTATACGTGTTCTTAATGCCTATGTAACTATTCACTAAACACAACAGCTTCAGATGTCATTTACCAACTCGGTCTGCTCTGAACTTAATTAGTAGACTATCATGACAGACATTCTATAATTATTGATTAAATGTTAAAAGAATTTCACATCAATAGGGGTCTATAAAACTCCTCTGTGTTCCTTCTACATTTTCATTCAGTTACTTCTTCATCTCTTTCCTCTCTTTCTTTCTCTCTCCTGCCTAGCTTTCCTATATACTCCTCTTGTTTGCACTAAGTTTCCTATATACTCCTCTAGCTTTCAGAAAACTTGTGAAGATATGGACCAAGTGTCTTCTCTCACCTAAATTAACTCTTTGATTTTTTAACATGATTATTGGTCTTTTCTTTTGCATATTGGACCAAATGTAACAATATTTTGCTGTCAAGCTTAACTTTTAAGAGTGTAATCTTA